ACGTTTTCCTGCAAAATGTCTTGATAAACTCTGGAATTCATTTTCCCATCAATGACAACAATCCGTCCAGGCCCTGAGGCAGCAAAGCAGCCCCAAACCATGATGCTCCCTCCGCCATGTTTCACAGTGGGGATGAGGTTTTGATGTTGGTGTGCTGTGCCTTTTTTTCTCCACACATAGTGTTGTGTGTTCTTCCCAAACAACTCAATCTTGGTTTCATCTGTCCGCAGTATATTCTGCCAGTAGTGCTGTGGAACATCCAGGTGCTCTTTTGCAAACTTCAAACGTGCTACAATATTCTTTTTGGACAGCAATGGCTTCCTCCGTGGTGTCCTCCCATGTACTCCATTCTTGTTTAATGTTTTCCTTATTGTAGATGTGTCAACAAAAATGTTAGCATGTGCCAGAGATTTCTGTAGGTCTTTAGCTGACACTCTGGGATTCTACTTTACCTCATGCAGCATTCTGCGCTGTGCTCTTGCAGTCATTTTTACAGGACGACCACGCCTAGGGAGAGTAGCAACAGTGCTAAACTTTCTCCATTTGTAGACAGTCTGTCTTACCATGGACACATGAACCTCAAGGCTTTTGGAGATACTTTTGTAACCCTTTCCAGCTTCATGCAAGTCAACAATTCTTGATGGTAGGTCTTCTGAGAGCTCTTTTCTGCGAGGCATGGTTCACATCAGACCGTGCTTCTTGAAACCAGTAAACCCAAAACAGGTGTGTGTTTTTTAAGGGCAGGACAGCTGTCAGCAACACATCCAATATCATCACACTGATTGGAGTCAAGGTTGGCTCACTCCTGGCTCCAATTAGCTCTGGGAGAAGTCATTAAGCTAGGGCCTCACATACTTTTTCCTCCCTGCACTGTGAATGTTTACATGTTATGTGCAATTAAACCATGGCAACATCTAATGTTTGTGTAGTATTATGTTCAGCAGACTGTGTTCTTCTATTGTTGTGACTTAGATGACGTTCAGAGCACATTTTATGCCCAATTCATGCAAAACTTTACGTAATCCCAAGGGGTTCACATACTTTTTCTTGCAACTGTAGATAATTCACCGCCAAGAACATGATGAAGGTTTAGGACACAGGGCCTCCAGAGTTTTTGTGAGGGCCACATCCTATATTCGGATAAATCAGTTTTATATATGACGGCATAAAATGTAAACGCAATTTAAATGAATGCAGCTGTGGCGGTCACTTTGTGGCTTTGAAACGTTGCTGGTTTCTGTTGGAGACATTAAAGTGTCCTATCCATCTGAATGTGGCGTACTGGTGTCTTGGAATGCCCTTTACATCCGGGTCCCCACCCAGATCAGTGCCATTGTTAAAGTCCCCCCTTACATCAGTATCCCCATCAAGCAGCTGTACAGTGAGGAATCCCAAGACCATGGTTGGGTACATGCAGCTGCACGGTGGGAATCCCAAATTCACAGTTGGGTACGTGCAGCTGTATGGTGGAGAATCCACAGCCTGAGGTTGGGTACATGCAGCTGTATGCTGAGGAATCCACAGCCCACGGTTGGGTACATGCAGCTATATGGTGGGGGATCCCAAGCCCACAGTTGGGTATTTGCAGCTGTGTTGAAGGGAATCCCAAGCCTGTGGTTGGGTACTTGCAGCTGTATGGTGAGGAATCCCAAGCCCATGTTTGGGTACTCGCAGCTTTACGGTGGGGAATCCAAAGTTCATGGTTGAGTACGTGCAGCTATACTGTGAGGTATCCCAAGCCCATTGTTGGGTACATGCAGCTGCATGGTGGGAATCCAAAATTCATGGTTGGGTACATGCAGGTGTACAGTGAGGAATCCCAAGACCATGATTGGGTACATGCAGCTGCACAATGGGCATCCCAAATTGGAATGCCAATGGTGTCTTGGAATGCCCTTTACATCCGGGTCCCCACCTACATCAGTGCCATTGTTAAAGTCCCCCCTTACATCAGTATCCCCATCAAGCAGCTGTACTGTGAGGAATCCCAAGCCCATTGTTGGGTACATGCAGCAGCATGGTGGGAATTCCAAATTCACGGTTGGGTACATGCAGCTGTACAGTGAGGAATCCCAAGACCATGGTTGGGTACATGCAGCTGCATGGTGGGAATCCCAAATTCATAGTTGGGTACATGCAGCTGTACAGTGAGGAATCCCAAGACCATGGTTGGGTACATGCAGCTGCACGGTGGGAATCCCAAATTCATGGTTGGGTACGTGCAGCTGTATGGTGGGGTCTCCACAGCCTGAGGTTGGGTACATGCAGCTGTACGCTGAGGAATCCACAGTCCATGGTTGGGTACGTGCAGCTATATGGTGGGGGATCCCAAGCCCACAGTTGGGTATTTGCAGCTGTGTGGAAGGGAATCCCAAGCCTGTGGTTGGGTACTTGCAGCTGTATGGTGAGGAATCCCAAGCCCATAGTTGGGTACTTGCAGCTTTACGGTGGGGAATCCAAAGTTCACGGTTGAGTACGTGCAGCTGTACTGTGAGGAATCTCAAGACCATGGTTTGTACATGCAGCTGCACGGTGCGAATCCCAAATTCATGGTTGGGTACATGCTGCTGTACAGTGAGGAATCCCAAGACCATGGTTGGGTACATGCAGCTGCACAGTGGGAATCCCAAATTCACGGTTCGGTACGTGCAGCTGTATGGTGGGGAATCCACAGCCTGAGGTTGGGTACATGCAGCTGTATGCTGAGGAATCCACAGCCCACGGTTGGGTACATGCAGCTATACGGTGGGGAATCCCAAGCCCACAGTTGGGTATTTGCAGCTGTACGTTGGGGAATCCAAAGCCCACGGTTGGGTACCTGCAGCTGTACAGTGGGGAATCCCAAGCCCATGGTTGGGAATGTGCAACTGTGCAGTGGGAAATTCCAAGCCCACAGTACATTGGCCTGGCACTGACAGGTTCAAGGTAAAACTTCAAGGTTTCGACCGAACCAAAACTCATCCCTACTACTGAGGTAGTTCCTAGCTCAAGAGTCAGCACTTTTGGCCTTTCTGCCTTGGGTGCTAAAGGGCTTTCAGGGTCAGTAGCTGAGATTACTTTTCCAGGTGGGATGAATGTGCTGAGATATCACATCCACCAAAATTGTTTGTGCTCATACATATCCATGGCAAAGATTATTTGTGTGCGAGTTCACGTGGCAAAACGGGTGCCAAAACTCCCACACCCAAACTGCCAAAAGCTAATGTGCTGTTTGGATGATGTTTTGGATGAGATTTTTGTACATTGCTAAAAATTTTTCACTCTTCGTCACTATGGGGGTTTCCTAACCGGCCTCAATGATACAGTCTGTGAGCTGCTGAGATCACTAAATGTAAGCTGCATACACTTGTATCCCATTTCATTGCAACGCAGATGTATGGTGGGGAATCCAAAGCCCACGGTTGGGTACCTGCAGCTGTACGGTGGGGAATCCCAAACCCTTGGTTGAGTATGTGCAGCTGTAAGGTGAGGAATCCAAAGCCCACGGTTGGGTACATGCAGCTGTACGGTGGGGAATCCATAGCCCACGGTTGGGTACCTGCAGCTGTACGGTGGGGAATCCAAAGTCCACGGTTGGGTACCTGCAGCTGTACGTTGGGGAATCCCAAACCCTTGGTTGAGTATGTGCAGCTGTACGGTGAGGAATTCCAAGCTCAGGGTTGGGTACCTGCAGCTGTACGGTGGGGAATCCATAGCCCACGGTTGGGTACCTGCAGCTGTATGGTGGGGAATCCCAGACCCTTGGTTGAGTATGTGCAGCTGTAAGGTGAGGAATTCCAGGCTCACGGTTGGGTACATGCAGCTGTACGGTGGGGAATCCATAGCCCACGGTTGGGTACCTGCAGCTGTACGGTGGGGAATCCCAAACCCTTGGTTGAGTATGTGCAGCTGTAAGGTGAGGAATTCCAAGCTCATGGTTGGGTACATGCAGCTGTACGGTGGGGAATTCCAAACTTAATGCTCAGATCCATACAAGCATGGTCAGCTATGGACTGGCAGATTTTGGGTATTGTAATGGACATAACTTTAAATTCCGAAACAGCCCATGAGATATAGTCAACTCCTTCAACAGGAACAGGAAATGCATCACCAAAGACAATTTAAAAGGAAGTCCTTCTGCTGAACTGGTCCTTTTTTGGGTTTCCTATGACCTGAGCAGATGCATTGCCTGAACCCTGGGTGAGGAAGCCTCTGTTTCTCTGGCCATCCTTTTCTTCCCCCCACCCCTTTGCCTACCTGGATCCCCTGTGAGCAGCTTGTAGGGTTGTCTGCTAGATTTCCCTCTAGAACCCCTCCTCACTATGAGAGGGAGGTGGCTTGGTTCTCCTTCTGTGTTTGGTGAAGGCCATGTCTGGAGGTGGCACACCCCCTTGACAGGGACCAGCACGGGTTCCCAGTCTGGGTGTTTGAGTGCAAGCACTCTCTGCACTGTAGGGCACTTTGTGGCAGAAGTCACACAGTAGCTGTGCTGGGTGTGTAGCTTGGCTGTGTTCTCTTTTGACCGGGTGACACCAGGCGTTAATACCTGATGGGGTAAAGTCATCTTCAGGTGCCAGAGGTTCTGGCTCCAAGCCTCGTTCTCAGCACAGGGGAAGGGCCAGCTGATGCTTTAATGGCAGGTCCATCCAGCAACGACTGTCAGGACGCTACAGGTGGAGAAGCAAATTCTGCATTTTGGACTCCTCGATGCACGTGGATACAGACGCCCAGGGGCGGACTGACAACTCATGGGGCCCCCGGGCAATAGGGAATCATGGGGCACCTGTGTCCTTGCCCAAATTAAGAAAAGCCTATAAAAAAGGTACCGGGGCATCTCATGGGGCCCCCTACTGACCCCAGGCCCTGGGGCAGTGCCCGAGTTTCCAAATGGTCAGTCCGCCCCTGCAGACGCCCTTGGAACCAGGGGGACTGAGGTAAGCTGGAGGTTGTTGTACCTACTTGCTTTCACCTAGCCTGTCACCTGGGGTCCCTTGTTGTTGTGCTTTCTGTGGCAAGGCACTGTTGGGCTCTCCTTAGAATTTCATAGAGGAACTTTAGGGTTCCTGACTATTTTCATTGAGGTCACCATTGTCCAGGTCACCCATAGAGAAGGTATGTTGACTAGAAATTTCTGCGAGATTCAAAGACGAGGTGTTTTGGAGAAAGAGTTGTGTCGTTATTGCTGCAAGGCGCAGCTGGCACGCCTACAGGTGCTGGATTTCCCCACCGTTGTAATAAAATGGTGACTCTATCTGGACTGGCAGTGCCAGGAATCTCTAGCCTTGTCATTGTGTTGGATGCCGGGTATACCCGTTATTGAAGGACTGAAGCCAAACTATGTTCCCAATGTGGTGCTTGGAGATGACAATTATGAGCAAACTGAAAATAAATCACATCAACAGAGATATAATGTGAAAAAGCAGCAATATAGTGAACTGTCCCAAAAAGAATCTGTGTGTCTTCAGCAAATTGACCAGTGACCACTGCAGCAAACAATCCTCCACCAGCTAGTGTGCGCACCAGGGGCGGTCTGACAACTCATGGGGCCCCTAGGCAATAGAGGATCATGGGGCCCCTGTGTCCTTGCCCAAACTCAAAAAAGCCTATGAAAAAGGTACCAGGGGCATCTCATGGGGCCCCCTACTGACTTCGGGCCCTCGGGCAGTGCCCGAGTTTCCAAATGGTTAGTCCGCCCCTGGTGCGCGCTCTCCTCTGGCTGTGACCCACAAAGGGTCTTATTGGCTTATGTAAACTCAGCCTTGCATTGTTAGGGTTAGAGGGTTCTGGTTCCAAGCCTTGTTCTCGGTGCAGGGGGAAGGGCCAGATGGTTCAAGATGGCGGCTCAAGATGCTACAGGTGGAGGAGCTAAGCATTTTGGGTTTTTCAATACAGATGCCTTTGACACCATCAGGATACAGGTAGGCTGGAGGTGGTTATACCTACCTGTTTTTGCTTAGCCGGTTGCCTGGGGCCCCTCGGTGCTGGGCTTACTGTGTCTGGGGACTGTTGGCCTCTTCCCTATCTAGAGTTTCTTAGAGGGAGTTTAGGGCTCCTGACTAATTTCATTGAGGTCACCATTGTCTTGGTATCCCATAGAGAAGCATTTCTCCATTTGCATTTAGTATTTAAAGCCATCCCAGTGATGACGTGCCGTGGCGCACGCACACCATCAGAGGGGCAACTGCAAGAACCCAGGTAGCATCTGAAGAACATGGTGGCACAGAACTCAGCCTAGGTCGGCAGATCTCTAGAGGACATCAATGGATCGCCAAGCCTGTGAGTATGTTTTCCATGCAGTACTCAGCTCAGGGGCTGACTGACAACTCATGGGGCCCCCGGGCAATAGGGGATCATGGGGCCCCTGTCTCCTTGCCCAAACTCAAAAAAGCCTATAAAAAAGGTACCAGGGGCATCTCATGGGGCCCCCTACTGACCCCGGGCCCTCAGGCAATGCCCGAGTTTCCAAATGGTCAGTCCGCCCCTGACTCAGCTATAGAAGTAACAGGCAGAACAATACGGGGGGTAGGGTGGAGTTAAGGACGGGTGACCCGGAGAAGCAAAGTGAAGTACCGGTACATCATTGCCTGCTTCCAGGTTTAGGGCATGCGCACCCCCCACCAGCACCCACTGTGGTTGTAAAGAGAGGGAGTATGACTTTAAAAATACATTTAATCTACATTGGAATGCATTTACAAATGTTAAAATTACTTCTTTGTATGTTAAAAAAAATCTGAAGAATATATTTAAAAAATATATATATATTTGTAAAAATAGTTTTCATATATTTTGTAATATATAAAAAAGGCATTGCAACATGCAGTATATATGTGTGTATGTGTGTGTATGTATGTATATATGTATATATATATATATATATATATATATATATATATATATATATATATATAATATGTATATATTATAATTATGTGTATGTATATATTATAAATATGTGTGTGTGTGTGTATATATATATATGTATGTATATCTAAATATATATTGAATATGGCCAAAATTGTAGTATTTCAAATATATTTTTCTTCCATGTGGGGGGTGCGACTTGCCATGCGATTTGCAAGTCGTATGGAAAGCAAATTGCATGCCAAGTCACACCTGGTGTGACCAGGGAATTTTGTATTTTACCAGAGACATGTAGCAGAATACATATTGGCCTAAAGTTATGAAGAAATTAGATTTTTTTTTTTTTAAATTTTTATTGGATGTTTTATAGCAGAAATTTAAAAAAAATTAAATTAAATTTTCGGTCTTTTTTCGTGTATATTGAAAAAAGTAGAAAACCCGCAGTGGTGATCAAATACCACCAAAAGAAAGCTTTCCTTGTGTCAAAAAAAAATGATGCAGAGTTCGTTTGGGGACAGTGTCGCACAACCGCGCCATTACCAGTTAAAGTAGTGCAGTGCTGAATAGCAAAAAATGGCCTTGTCACGAAGGGGGTAAAACCTTCCGCAAAATTAGAGCAAATACAAAAAAGCAAAAAAAAAAAACAATAATCCGGGACAGTCAGAGTTTTTTTTTTCATCAAATGATATTAATGGGATTTTGCGTCATATAGAAAGAATGTTCTTTGGTAAAGTACGAGGGACGATATAAAAGTAGTAATGTTTATGAATAGATGGAGGATCTCCTCTGCATTCATTGCTGCCTCCTGGGAAGTGTCGGCTCACGGAAGTCGCCCTTTCTTTTTTTTTTTTTCTCTTTTTTTTCTCTTTTTCTTTCTCTCTCTTTTTTCTTTCTCTTTTTCTTTCTCTTTCTCTTTTTCTTTCTCTTTTTTTTCTCTTTTTTTTTTCTCTTTTTCTTTCTCTTTTTCTTTTTCTCTTTTTCTGTCTTTTTTTCTCTTTTTCTTTCTCTTTTTTTTCTCTTTTGCTTTCTCTTTTTTTTTCTCTTTTGCTTTCTCTTTTTTTTCTCTTTTTTTCTTTCTTTCTCTTTTTTTTCTTTCTCTTTTTTCTCTCTTTCTCTTTTTTTTTTCTCTCTCTTTTTTTTCTCTTTTTCTTTCTCTTTTGCTTTCTCTTTTGCTTTCTCTTTTGCTTTCTCTTTTTTCTCTTTTGCTTTCTCTTTTTTTTTCTCTTTTTTTTTCTCTTTTTTTTTCTCTTTTTTTTCTCTTTTTTTCTTTCTCTTTTTTTTTCTCTTTCTTGCTTTCTCTTTTTTTTTTTCTCTTTTTTTTTCTCTTTTTTTCTTTTTCTTTTTTTTTTTCTCTTTTTTTCTTTTTCTTTTTTTTCCTCTTTTTTGCTTTCTCTTTTTTTTTCTCTTTTTTGCTTTCTCTTTTTTTTTTCTTTTTTTTTCTTTTTTTTTTTCTCTTTTTTTTCTCTTTTTCTTTTTCTCTTTTTCTGTCTTTTTTTCTCTTTTTCTTTCTCTTTTTTTTCTCTTTTGCTTTCTCTTTTTTTTTCTCTTTTGCTTTCTCTTTTTTTTTTCTCTTTTTTTTTTTTTTCTTTCTTTTTTTTTTTCTCTTTTGCTCTCTCTTTTTTTTTTCTTTCTTTCTCCCTTTTTTTTTCTCTTTTGCTTTCTCTTTTTTTTCTTTCTCTTTTTTTTCTCTCCTTTTTTTTGTTTTTTCTCTGGTTTTATTTTTCTTTTTGTGTTGGTTGCTCATGATGTTATCTGAACCAGCCTGCATCCTGATGAAATATGGACTGGCTCTGAATGTAATTGCTGAGATAAAAATGTCATTACGGAGATAGCCGTTGTTTATTTTATGCTCTCTCGGGCTCTTTGGATTTTTTTTTTTTCCTGGCCCCGAGCGCACATTTCCCCAAACGGTTTGCACATGGCCAAATTTGGATCTCCCTTAATTTTGTTTATTTGTGCGCGCATCAGAAACTCTGCTAATCAAACGCCGTGATTAAATCCAGGGCTCTGCTTAATCCTGCCGCCACGGTGGTGGATCCTCTCGGCTGTAGATGTTCTCTGTGCGTTGCGATGAGGATAATTCATGGGTTGCTTCAGCCTCCTGAAGAGACCACTTCTCCACAGTTGTCCTAGCTCCCTCCTTAAGCCTCATCCTCAGGGTCACCAAGCCTACTTTATGGCCTCAAACTTCCTTCAAACCCCCCCCCCCCCCCCCCACCACAGTGTCCCCCAGTCCCTGCAGGACCCTACAGTTTCTAACATTGCCCCTGAAAACCCCCAGCATCCTGGATTCTTTCCCCACAGTTGGATCCAGCTCTCACTGAACCTCAACCCCTACAAGGTCACCAAGTCTGCTGCATGGTCCCTAACCTCCCACAATGCTTTTTACCTCCTCCCCCTTGTGCCCCCCCAGCCTTCCATAATGGCCTGCATTGCTCCACAACTTCCCACTGTGCCCTTAGACCACATGTGAGCCCTCAGCACCCACAGTGCTACCCTACGCCCTACAGTGCCCCCTCACTTACCACACAGCCTCCAGCCCCCCCCCCCCCGCTCCCCCCTTCCCAACCCCCAACAGTGTTCCCCAGCCACTGTAGGACCCTACTTTTTCCTACATTGCCCCTGAAAAGCCCCCAGACTCCTGTAGAGACCCCATCCCCAAATTGCCCCCCCAGCAGTGCCCTTTACATTAATTGTCCCCCTCAGAGTGCCCCCTTACATCAACTGTCCCCCTCAGAGTGCCCCCTTACATCAACTGTCCCCCTCAGAGTGCCCCCTTACATCAACTGTCCCCCTCAGAGTGCCCCCTTACATCAACTGTCCCCCTCAGAGTGCCCCCTTACATCAACTGTCCCCCTCAGAGTGCCCCCTTACATCAACTGTCCCCCCTCAGAGTGCCCCTTACATCAACTGTCCCCATCAGAGTGCCCCCTTACATCAACTGTCCCATCAGAGTGCCCCCTTACATCAACTGTCCCCATCAGTGTGCCCCGTTACATCAACTGTCCCCCTCAGAGTGCCCCCTTACATCAACTGTCCTCCTCAGAGTGCCCTTTACATCAACTGTCCCCCTCAGAGTGCCCCCTTACATCAACTGTCCCCCTCAGAGTGCCCTTTTTACATACATCAACTGTCCTCCTCAGAGTGCCCTTTACATCAACTGTCCTCCTCAGAGTGCCCCCTTACATCAATTGTCCCCTCAGAGTGCCCTTTACATCAACTGTCCCCCTCAGAGTGCCCTTTACATCAACTGTCCCCATAAGAGTGCCCCCTTACATCAACTGTCCCCATAAGAGTGCCCCCTTACATCAACTGTCCCCCTCAGAGTGCCCTTTACATCAAACTGTCCCCATCAGAGTGCCCCCTTACATCAACTGTCCCCATGAGTGTGCCCCCTTACATCAACTGTCCCCATCAGAGTGCCCCTTTACATCAAAACTGTCCCCATCAGAGTGCCCCCTTACATCAACTGTCCCCATGAGTGTGCCCCCTTACATCAACTGTCCCCATCAGAGTGCCCCCTTTACATCAACTGTTCCCATCAGAGTGCCCCCTTACATCAACTGTCCCCCTCAGAGCGCCCCCTTACATCAACTGTCCCCCTCAGAGTGCCCCCTTACATCAACTGTCCCCCTCAGAATGCCCCCTTACATCAACTGTCCCCCTCAGAGTGCCCCCTTACATCAACTGTCCCCCTCAGAGTGCCCTTTACATCAACTATCCCCCTCAGGTCTATTGGATGTGTGAATTCACTGTCAGAGGTCTGGGGGTTCACAACTAACCATCGCCCCCCTAGATCCGGGCCTCATATGTACCCTCCTGGGCCTCCAATGTCTGCTTCCTCCGGCACACTTCATCAAGTCCACGAGTGGACCCCAAGCAGCTTTCCAGATGCAATTCCTCCTGTCACGCTGCTACTAATTTCCATGTCACCTATGGGGAACTCGGGAACGCGCGATGTTGGCGGCGCCGGAACGATGGCCGGGGAATCGGCAGTAAGAGGCGTCTATAGAGCGCTGCGCGGCGGGGTCCAAGCGCGAGGACTGAAGGGCCGAGCCGAATGAATCATCAATTTGAATCGCACCTCGGGGAAGCAATTTATGAGACCTCTTAAGGGGGATACGAAGGGGAATTTGTTGTAACACACACAAGCCCCCCCGTACTTTCCTCTCTGCTGATCCCGATCCGCGGCGCATGTTACTTCCAGCGCGGCGCGCATATTTCTGCTAATGGATGGCTCTCCGTAATCAGAGCGAATGTAGCTGTTGGCTTTCATGACGGAGGTTTCGACATCGCCGTATTTACTCCCTGTTATGTGCCAGCTGTCGGCTCTTAACGGTGTTATGATGAAAATACGCCGCGGAGGGGAGACCGGACATGAATAATTCATCCCAAATCTGCAGGTAATATTCAGAGCCGAGCGCAGGGGCCCCTCGCGTTGTTGTTATCTTCATCATAGGCAAGGCCATTGAACAACACCTTCTTCATGTCACCAATAATAAACAGCAGTTGGCAACTGTCCTTTTTTTTTTTTTTTTTTTCTCCAGAAAAAAAAAAAAAAAAACCTTGGCTGCACTCGCTTCGTGCCTGGAAATGTCGTTCATTCTTTGGAATTTTGCAAAATGTATTTTTTTTTTTTTTTG